ATTTCTCCGTGAACACAAAATACTGTCACTCCTTCATGACGATTATACTCGTCGAACACAAAATACTATCACGTCGGTGACGAGTATACTCGTCGAACCCAAAATACTGCCACTCCTCCACGACGAGTATACTCGTCGAACCCAGAATACTGTCACTCCCCCGCGACGAGTATTCTCGTCACGAACACACAAAATACTATCACTTCGCGACGAGTATACTCGTCAAACTGACCGGTGAACCGGCCGCGATACCCTTTCTTCGTAAAAATCAAGTGTAGACGACGGTCGAGGAAAGAGAGAAAGATAAGAGAGCCAGGGATAAGGATAAAGAACGGATCGGAATGCCTGTTGTGTAAATTGACCTCTATTCCGCGGCGCGGCGGCTCGGCGTGCGGAATAGCGAGCGGAGCGGGCACGGTGCTCGGCCATACACGCGCGTTCAAATCACCGGTGGGAGGCCTCTGCTCCACCTTTCGTTTGACTTTGACAGTTCCATTATGGGTATCGAAGCTAACGGCAAACAGTACGGTGGCCGACGACGACGGAAACGGCGACGCTCGCTGTGAATCGAGCCCCGCTCTCTCTCTTTCTCTGTTACGCGACGCTGCCGCCGCAACGCCAGCAATGTCTCGAGGTGCTCGACCGGTTGTTTGGTTTGGTTCGCGGATCGCGATGGGATATCGTTCACGACGAGAGGGCCGTCGGGCCGCTGCCTCGCGGGATATCGTTCCGGAATCGCGTCGCGCCGACCTCCTCGTCACCGATTTTCCGACCCGCTGGTGTTCCGCGGAAATTAAAGCGGCCGTGGTCTCCACGGAATCGACGGCGACCGACGTTCGATCCGTGTTCGAACCGTTCCAGCGTCGTGATCGAGCGATTCCGTGCCGACGACGCTGTTTTTTACTCGCACGACGCCTCGAAGACCGCGTCGCGACGCGTTCGCGCCTGCTCGACGGAAGCGGATCGCCGTTCGAATAAATCCGTAAACAAATTTTCGGATCCTCGGAACACGTTATCGATTTTAACCGATTCAATTGTTATTAAATCCGTGTCTCGTCGACGACGCCGTTTTTTCGTCGCCCGACGCCCCGAACTCCGCCTCGCGACGCGTTCAAAACTCGATCGCCTTTCGAATAATTCCGTAAACAAATTTTCGGCTCGCCGGAACATGGTTATCGATTTTGACCGATTCAATTGTTATTAAATCCGTGTCTCGTCGACGGGATCGACGAAGAGGGAATCGTTCGATTCCCGAAACGAACGAAACGCGCCGCGACCGATACAATTATCGGCGAACCCCGGGCGATAATTATTTTCATGGGTGCGCGAGTCCCTCGTCTCGCGGCCCCGCGATAACGAGTCTCGTGGAACGGGTTCCGATAATATTCGAATCCGGCGAACGGAGAAATTAGAAACGAATTTCTCGCGGCCGATTCGATCGGTCCGACAAGTTGTTCTTTTCTATCGTTCACGATCTCGTGACCCAGCTAGCTTCGGGGTGATGGTTCTCTTTTTTTCTTTACATTCGCCGATCGGTCACGCCGCGACGAAGCCGGCGGAGAATCGTCGATCGTGTGGTGTGTGGCCGCCTCATCGTTATTCCGGTGCTTTTTCGTACGTGAGTTCCCGATACCGCGCCAAACAGGAACGAACGGTACCCGTTGACACGTTCTAGTTGCACGAGCTAATTGCGATTTGGAGCCTAAAGTCTGAAGCTTAGGAGCCTAGAGACCGAAGGCTAGAGCCCAGAGCCCATAAACTGAAGCCTAGAGGCTATAAACTGAAGTCTAGAGCCTATAACCTGAAGCCTAGAGCCTATAACCCGAAGCCTAGAGCCTAGAAACTGAAAGCCTAGAGCCTAGAAACCTAAAAACTGAAGCCTAGAGGCTATAAACTGAAGTCTAGAGCCTATAACCTGAAGTCTAGAGCCTATAACCTGAAGCCTAGAGCTTATAACCTGAAGCCTAGAGCCTATAACCTGAAGCCTAGAGCCTAGAAACCTAGAAAGTGAAGCCTAGAGCCCAGAGATTGAAGCTTAAAGACTATAAACTGAAGTCTAGAGCCTATAAACTGAAGCCTAGAGCCTATAACCTGAAGCCTAGAGCCTAGAAACTGAAACCCTAGAGCCTAGAAACCTAGAAACTGAAGCCTAGAGCCTAGAGATTGAAGCTTAAAGCCTATAAACCGAAGCCTAGAGCCTAAAAACTGAAAGCCTAGAGCCTAGAAACGTATAAACTGAAGCCTAGAGCCTGGTGATTGAAGCTTAGAGCCTATAAACTGAAGCCTAGAGCCTATAAACCGAAGCCTAGAGCCTATAAACCGAAGCCTAGAGCCTAAAGATCGAAGCCTAGAGGCCCAGAGCAAAGAATCTCGGATCTCCCGCCAAAAACCAAGACCCAAGAACCAAAGAACGTACAAACAACACGATCGTCGATCGGCGGATTATTCTTCGAAACGCATTACGGATCGCGGCGGTACGATGATCCGCGCCGCGGCGAATTAAAATTTCTTTGCGCTTTCACGCTCGAGCAGCGCTGGGGAGCATTGTGAAAACGTTTCCGCGGGTAATTAGCCCACCGGTTACGACGCTTAATTGTGCTCCGCCGTTTCGATCGTTACACCGCGATACATACATACAGAAAACGTTTCGTAACCGTCTTACACGAGACGAGATTTTCACGTGTTCGTCACTCTGGACGCAACCTAAACGGCTAATCGAAACAATCGAAACCGTGTTTAGGGTTCTAGATTTCCGTCTCTAGGCTCTAGGCTTCAGTTTCTAGGCTTCTAGGCTCTAGGCTCCAATCTCTAGGCTCTAGGCTCCAGGTTTCAGTCTCTAGGCTCTAGGCTTCAGTCTTTAGGTTCTAGATTTCAGTCTCTAGATTCCTAGACTTTAGTCTCTAGGCTCCTAAGTTCTAAGCTAAGTTCTAAGCTTCTAAGTTCAGTGCCTAGAGGCTCCTAGGCTTCAGCCTTTAGGCTCTAGGCTTCAGTCTCTAGGCACTAGACTTCAGTCTCTAGGCTCTAAGACACTTCAGTCTTAAGTTCTAGACTTCAGTCTCTAGGCACTAGATTTCAGTCTCTAGGCTCTAAGACACTTCAGTCTTAAGTTCTAGACTTCAGTCTCTAGGCACTAGATTTCAGTCTCTAGGCTCTAAGACACTTCAGTCTTAAGTTCTAGACTTCAGTCATAAGGCTCTAAGACACTTCAGTCTTAAGTTCTAGACTTCAGTCTCTAAGCTCCCAGGTTTTAGGCTTCAGTCTCTAGATTCCTATATTTTGCTCTAGGCTCCCAGGATCCATCTTTGGACTTAGATCTCTAAGCTCTATGCATCAGGTCTATGTAAATAACTACAGTAATATCTCTCTAATTTGACGCTCAGATTGCCCACAAAAATGGACAATTTTCGAAGAGAAGATACGATTGTTCGAGCCTTGCGGCTCGTTTTTTATGGTTATCGATTGTCAACAACTATAAAAACGAGCTGCAAGGCTCGAATCTCCTCTTCCCAAATTCTCCATTTTTGTGCACAATCTTAGCATCAATTAGGGAGACATTACTGTATTAATAACAATAATAATAATAATTAGTTCCTATATATATAAAGTATATATATATACATAATTATACTAACTATTTTACACAGTCCTGAAGCATCGAGCCCAAGTCCAGAGCCTGAACTCTGGATTCTAGGTGCCCAGAGCAAATAGTCTAGGAATGGATGTATCATTTCCCGGGCGTGTGTTCCGTTTCGTCGGTTGAATGGCGGCCAACCGCTTCCGCGACCATCGCGTGCGTTTCGCTGGATCGCGTGGCCCCGCATATTAATTGGACGTCATTAGAAAGTTGCGATCGGTTCTTAATTAACCGGAAAAGAGGGCCGAGTGAAAACGACCCCGCGAGTCGGTTCGCCGAATCGATCGGTCACTCTCGCCGCCCGCTCGGCGAACGCGATCTGCCGTCGCTCTGTGGCCGATTTCCATGTAAAAAGCGAAAAAGAGAACATTATAACGAATAAACATTACATATCTAAGTCTCGCTTTTTCATTTTATATCGCTATTATGGTGCATATATTCGGGTCTTTGTTTTGGGGTAGAATAACGCAAACAGAATGCAGCGTTCTTTCAATTGTTTACAAACGAGTTTTGTGTAAATACAATTTTTGTTTTCAATTAAATTTCATTTCATTTCATTGAACATTCTCTCTATTTTTATATGGCAAACGATTGCTTCGATCTCAAGTTCGATTGTTTCTTCGAGAAATCGTTTCGATTTCTCGGTCGCTTTTTTACTCGTAATCGACGCGAACGCCTCGGATGCGAGCCATGATCTGCGTATAATACAAAAACAATGATTTATAATTATTCTCGTTAGTCTCGATAGATTGTAAACAGTTGAATTATTGATATTTTACTCGATATATTCGAAACATCTCGCGTAACTCGGTAGCCCATAGGCGTCGCGGTACGCTTCGCGGCACGTGCCTTTTCTGCATTATTATTATTATGAGAAATTTCTCCGATAGCAGCTGACAGCAGCCGATTTTTATTTTGTTATTAACCGAATTTGGGGAGAGGAGAGCCTCTATTATTTTATTATGAATATAATATAAATATAATATAATTTAATTATATTATATTATTCGCGCCTCGCGCTTCGATTATTCGCGCCTCGTTTTTCTAATCTCCAAAAGATCGATAACTATAAAAATGATCCTCGAGGTCAAAAAATCGTACCCCATGCTCCCAAATTGTCCACGCCGGTCGTAATTCGCCGATCGCCTAATTCATCGTAACCGATTCGCCGGTCGCCTAATTCATCGCAACCGATTCGCCGGTCGCCTAATTCACCGCAACCGATTCGCCGATGCCATCGGACACTTCGAAACCGAAAGCCCCGTCGAGCCGTTGCTTCGCGAAGATCGCTCGAAGCGAAACGTCGACGATCCAGCAACGGCGATCGAGGATCATCCTAAAAAAAGCTTGTGAAACTCCGAAACAGGTCCGCCGGGTACAGAAATGTACCGCGCGTAGTCCGGACATCGCATCGGACATCGGCCGCCGAGAAACGTTCAACGTAAACATTGAAACGCCGGAGGGATGTGTGCGCGCCGGAGGGATGAAAATGAGCAGCCGCGGTCGAGGGGTCGCGTGTGAACATAGCAGTAGTGTGATCGCGATAGTTACGCGATCGGTTCGATGAACAGTGAAAGTTTCGATGTTCACGATGATCGAGCCGAGGAACGATCGGGTGCCTGCCGGCCAGAGCAAGCACCATTGTTACCAAGTGATAAGGACGACGAGGGTGCACCAGAGTTCGCGGAGCTCCAGGATGGTCACCGTTCAAGAGAAGGTCATCAGGTCCCGACTGCAGTTGGGCTACTCGACGCCCACGAACTTCATCAATCGGTATACCATATATGGATCACAGAATTATCATTAACAGCTTTACACAGGATACGCGGTTGTTTTTTTTTTTATGGGAAATCTCGGCGGGGGTAGCCGACGTTTTATTCTTGGATTCAACTGATATTTTAGGAGGAAACGAAATTATTATTAATTAAATCGTAATTAAAAATTATAATCTTATTATAATGAATCAAATTATAATTATTATTATTATTATAGTTAATACACATATAATATTATATTATATATATTATATTATATATAATAATATTGTATAGTTAATGTAATATACAATAATATTGTATAATTAATATAATATATAATAATATTATATAATTAATATAATATATAATAATATATATTATAATTATAATTAATATATATACTATTATGTTATATATATTATATACTATATAATAATATTGTATAATTAATGTAATATATACAATAATATTGTATAATTAATATAATACATAATAATATTATATAATTAACATAATATATAATAATATTGTATAATTAATATATAATATATTATAATGAAATGATAATTTTGTTTCTTTGCAAAACAGCAGTGTAATTCTAATTAATATATTATTTAATATATATACACGTAATCTATATAATTAGTACATTGTAAATCGAAGTGAAACTTATCTCGGGGATCGGGATTCTTCCGGTTGCGCAACCGGTGCGTGTCCCAATTCCCCGTATCTTCCGGAAGATAGCTGCTCCAGCACCGAACTCGAGTTACGGGAACAGCTTCCGGCTATTTTATGGAAATTTTTCATCCGAGAGGAAGCAAGAGAGGGAAAAAGATAGATAGATAGATAGAGAGAGAGAGAGAAGGAGCGCGAGAGGAACCCTTTTCATAGTCGGCGCACCGCCATAACTTATTCACGGTTAATTAGATGCATAAAAGGGAGCCGGGCGTAGGATGTTTCGCGCGTAGATCTCGTTCCCACGCGCCGGCCTGTTCGTAAATCTTCCCCGCTAATCCCCGAGACTGGTCGGGAAACTTTGTCGCCGATACTCGAACAAAGACGGGATCTGCTGGAGGATCAGCCTCTTTATCGTTAAACCCGGTGCCATAATATTTAAGTGCTAATAAATCTTCACGCTAAATGCTCCTCCGCTTCTCCGTGACGAGTATACTCGTCGTGACACGTAATACTGTAACTTATTCCGTGACGAATGTACTCGTCGCGACACAAAATAGTGTCAATTCTCCGTGACGAGTATACTCGTCGTGACACAAAACACTGCCACTTTCCTATGACGAGTATACTCGTCGTGACACAAAACACTGCCACTTTTCTATGACGAGTATACTCGTCGTGACACAAAATACTGCCACTTTTCTATGACGAATATACCCGTCGAACACAAAATACTGCCATTTTGTCCGCGACGAGTATACTCGTCGAACTCAAAATATTGTCATTTTGTTCACGACGAGTGTACTCGTCGCGACACAAAATACCGCCACTTCAATTGTATAATATGAAATTCGACAAGAATTCTAGAATATCTAAAATTCAATAACCATTTCTTTTTTCATTTCAATAATCATATCAATTCAAATAATTTTGTGTTTGACGAGTATACTCGTCTAACTTCCCCGTGACGAGTATACTCGTCGAGCACAGCGAACTATTTAAGCAGCCAATTGTCCCGTTTCGACGCCAGAAACCTCGCTATTAAAAATACCACGTGCGAAGCACTCCGAACGCTCGAATCTCCGAGTTTGTTTCCTCGGTGTGGGCGTGGCCTCGCTGCTCCCGATTTAAACGGAGCCAAAGCCGAGACAAGCGTTCCGAAAATGTCGGCCTGTTTGGCAATCGGGTATCGACGGCGCGAACAGACGGATAGCGAGCTCGGCAGGGGGGCCGGGGGGGAGAGGAAGAGCGGTTCGTTGGCTTCCGTTGACTTCCGTCGGCCGGAAGAACCACGCGCATCGTCTCGAATTCATTAAAGGAATTATTAAAGCGTGCTCCGCTACCGGTTCTCTCTGGCCGCGCGGCCGCCGCGGGTCTCGACTAATTATCACCGAGCAATTAACAGCCGTTGATTGCCATTAACGGCGCGCGGAGAGTGTGCCTCGCAGATCCGACACGGTTCCAACGCGAGATTCCAGCCCCGCGAAATAACTCGCCGCGTCGGACGCGGCCGCGGCCGGCGGAGAACGCCGGGAAAGTCGCGGGAAATTCGATTAAACTGGCACATCGGACTTCTGGGGCCGCGTGACCGCGCTCTCTTGATTCTCTCGTCTCTCTCTCTCCCTCTCTCGTCTCTTGGTTCTCTCTCTCGTCTCTCTCTCTCTCGGTTCTCTCCCTCTCTCTCTCTCTCTCTCTCTCGGTTCTCTCCCTCTTTCGGTTCTCTCTCTCTTTCGGTTCTCTCTCTCTCTCTTTCTCTCTCTCGGTTCTCTCCCTCTTTCGGTTCTCTCTCTCTTTCGGTTCTCTCTCTCTTTCGGTTCTCTCTCTCTCTCTCTCTCTCTCGGTTCTCTCTCTCTTTCGGTTCTCTCTCTCTCTCTTTCGGTTCTGTCTCTCTCTCTCCCTCTCGTCTCTCTCTCTCTCTCTCTCTCTCGGTTCTCTCTCTCTCTCTCTCTCTCTCGTGGCTTTCCGTCCGCGGATCTCGGCGAGGCTTTCCGCGCGCGAGTTTGTGCCGAAACGAGAGCATGAATAATGCAGGCGTGTTCGCCTCGCCGAGCTTTTTTCAGCTCGACCCGGGGCCGCTCTGCCTTCCCTTTCGCCTCGCCACGCCCCCTCGAATAGTGAATTTATTTTCTATTTCCCCGTTTTCTTTTTTTTCTCTTTTCGCGCCGGCCCGGCGCAAAACCCTCTTTTTCGAGGGACGCGTCTCGCCGAGCGGCGGAAGCGCGAGCTTCAACCCTTTCGCGGACGAGGGAAATAAGAAATAACGAGAGTCTTGCCCTCGCGCCGAGGGCACCCTTGAACGGTCGCGAAACGAATGCCGCCGGTCGAGCGGCCAATTCCACGGCCTAGGAACAAGTCGAAAATGCGGAATCAGGTTCTAGTTTCGTTCGCAACTGGCCCGAATCGCGCTCGCCAATAAAAGCTAACGAGTCTGTGGACGCCTCGTTCTTTCGCTGCCCGTTCGTTCCTTCGACTCGATCCTCTCTCTCGAGATCGTGTTCCATAGAAACACGGATACGGGTTTATACTGGGAACCACTGTTACTCGTACTGAGCCGTTGCAATTTCATTTCATTCTATTCAATTCCATTTCCGTTCAATTCAATTCAATTTTATTTTATTTAAATTCAATTCGTTTCAATCCATTTCAATTCAATTTAATTCATTTCAATTCAATTCTATTCAATGTAATTCATTTCAATTCAATTCTATTCAATTTAATTAATTTCAATTCTATTCTATTGAATTTAATTCATTTCCATTCAATTCTATTCAATTTCATTAATTTCAATTCAAATCTAGTCAATGTAATTCATTTCCATTCAATTCTATTCAATTTAATTCATTTCAATTCAATTCTATTCAATGTAATTCATTTCAATTCAATTCTATTCAATTTAATTCATTTCAATTCAATTCTACTGAATTTAATTCATTTCAATTCTATTCAATTCAATTCATTTCAATTCATTTCAATTCTATTCAATTTAATTCAATTCTATTCTATTCTATCCAATTTAATTCATTTCAATTCAATTCTATTCAATTTAATTCAATTCTATTCTATTCTATCCAATTTAATTCATTTCAATTTAATTTAACTTGATCTAATTTAATTAAATTAATTTATATATACGGATTTTTAGAAGAACATATACATATATGTGTGTACACCAATTTTTAGAATAACAACACAAGAAAATATCATATTTAGATCGACAAAGATTCAGCGAATGAGCAAGTTAGGTAAACAGTTTATATAAAACTTGTTTTGCACTTTGCGACTGCATTTTGTGTAGTTGTAAACATGTCTACTTTATCGCCTTCGTCGTCGCTTTTGGATTAGAGTATCTTGGATTTCTTTGTCGAATCACACGGTTGAGATAAATATAACTCCAAAGCGCCACGTACACAGTACGCTACATAAATATCTCGATAAAATCATCACCGAGATGTTATCTAAATTTTATCGATTCCCCCGGACCTGTCTATTATTAGATCTATTACTACCTTGGAATGTTTATTTTTTCCTGATCACGCGCATCACATTTTTATGATTTAGAAGGGTCTACTAGCTCGTAAATGGTACAATGATGACAATAAAGATAATGAAAACTGCATGAATGCATCCCTCGGGGGTAATGTTTTCGCATAGTGTTCTATTGACGATGCTCCGAGGGAAAGAGGTAGAGAAAGAGGGGGAGAGAGAGGGAGAGAGAGAGAGAGAGAAAGAAAGGGAGGGAGAAGCTTTCGACCAGCCGTGGCAGAAAAAACATGAAGCCAGGTGCATGTTCCGAGGCACTTCACGGCAACAGTTCGCGCGCGTGTGCATCGTACGTGTGTGTGTGTGTGCATCGAAGCACGCGTGCACTACGGCGCGGCACGAGTCCCCGAAACACCCGACAGACAGATGTTCAGACTCTTGCAAGGCTTTGATGCCACCCCGACTCCAATTTATTTCTCTTCCTACGATAGAAAGCGTGCGGACGAGCTCTCTCGAGGGCGAGAGAGACAGAGAGAAAAAGAGAGAGACACAAAGACAGAGAGAGAAAAAGAGAGAGAGACGAAGACAGAGAGAAAAAGAGAGAGATACAAAGACAGAGAGAGAGACGAAGACAGAGAGAAAAAGAGAGAGAGACAAAAACAGAGAGAAAGAGAGAGAGACGAAGACAGAGAGAAAAAGAGAGAGAGAGAGAAAAAGAGAGAGAGAGAAAAAGGGAGAGAGAGACAAAGACAGAGAGAAAAAGAGAGAGGGACATACAGAGAACCCTGGCATAATCCTAGCATCGACGTAGCAATAAAATTACATAGGCGTAGAACTGAAGCAAGGGAAATTCCCAGCAGC